ACCTATACTCACATAGATTCAGGATCATTGACCCATTACATAGATGGAGGATCATTGACCCATTCGAGTGAGGGAAACCACACCAGAGGAACTGTGGAATGTCTCAGGAAAGAAAGGAAAGACAGAGTTATAGAATTTGGGGGAAGGATGGACTTAGGTGAAATTTAAGGGAAGCAGTTTTCTGATAGATTCACAGCAAGGCTGTGTGTAAAGACGTCAACATTGGATCTGGACTGCAGACTAGTCTAAGGATCCCATTTCTGGAAAACCACAGAGTTACTGTAGATGTGGACTGTTGTATTCTGGAGACCTCAAATGAAGGCCTTGCACTTAGGTTAGAAATAGACGCTGCTGCTTTGTGTCAAAGTGACTTAAGTCCTCCAAACAAGAGCAGGTGTTTCATTCTTACTGATGTAATTTCAACAGTAAGGTTGCTAATAGTTTGATTTTACAGAACAAAATTTTTCAGTGATTTAGAAAGTAGACATTCAAACACAGGGTCACTATTATACTTTACAGCTGTACTGTATATCCTTGAAATATTATTTCCTGTTAACTTTGAAGCTGGCCTGTTTGTTATCCCAGCCCTATGATACGGTCAAGCAAATAATGACATTCTCAGTTCAAGATAAGTTTTACTTCCTTACTTTGAATTTTTCTTAGAGGAAAAAATACTGGCTTAATGTGTTTCTTGTAGGTATGGCTAGCTCTTATCCAACCCAGGGTATTAGTGTGAGCAGCAGCAATCTTCAGCATATGAGCCCCAAGATCATTTGCCTGATAAGGAGCTAACCTGGCAGTGCCTCAAGCTGCTACTGTGTTGCCATTTGAGACTCTGATAATATTCCTGGTGTCGCTGTCCAGCTGGTTTTTGCCTGGATGCCCTGCTCAGTTCAATTTCTGTTCAGGCAGTAGCTATATAATAGACTATTAAAAGTGGAAAGGTTTAAAGTAATCCATTAACCATAAAGAACATGTAGACAAACGGAGATACCCAGACATAACTGTTTCCATGAGAGCTAGGTGTGCACATTACTGTCATTCTGCTGTTAAGAACATCCAAAATCAACTTCCTAAGTTATTGGTATTTTAAACCAATGCTTTTCTATGATGTAATAGCACTAAAGATATGCCAGAAAAATTGGTGCATTTTATAATTGAGAAAATGAAAAGATAGAAAGAGACCGTGTAATTCAGTGTCGGACTAGGAGAGTTAAACATGAGTAATAATCATCAATATCTAAACACTTCTTAAGCTTAACTCTCCCTTCTCTTGGCTTGCTTTTTTAGTTACTGTACTCTCTTTTAGTTCCTGAAAAAGATTTTTCTTTTCCTGCCAGTCATTGATATACTCTGTAGTTATTTCTACCATTTTCTGCCTACCTTGCTGCTATCTTATTTCTATTAATGCTAACCCTGTTAAAGCAGAGCTCAGCAGTTGCCTACTCCACTGGCTTTTTCTTACTTTTCATCCTCTTGTTTATTGATCGCTTACTGAAAGCCAGAGTGGGCCAAGCACTACTGTAGGCACAAACTGAGGTCTAGGAAACAGAAAGTGGAAAAACTGAGGATGAAAGTGCAGGAGAATTGGACACTGAAGATTCTCCTGTCTCTGCTAACATTGACGCCTTACATGGCTACATGGTGAGTGCTTGACCTGTGGGAACGCATTTAATCCTTTTGACAACCCACTGAGTTGGGAACTATTACTATCCCAACTTTTATGATGAGGAAACTGCAACAGAGAGATTAGTAAGTAGCACTGCTAGTAAGTAGTAGACCTTGACTTGACTTCCACAACCACAGAGATCCCTTCACATCTTTTCTACTCTTCTGACTGCTCCTCTGTCTTACTTTGTCTCTTCCTCCTCATTCCAACTCCATGCCTTTAGGGATAATCCCCCAAGTTATCTTCGTCCAGCTCCATTTCCAGTCACCTCTGCTTTACTGTTTTCATTATCTCTTAAACTCAGATTTTCTAGTACTGAACACTTTATCTTTTTTAACCAACCAGTTCTATCCAGTTACCCTTGGTCTTCTAGGGTAGAAGCCCAGAAGTCAGACTTTAATTTTTCCTTCCCTCATCTGAGATGCTATATCCCATTCATTAAATCTGACATTTGCCCCTTCACGTCATCCATTACATCATGCCCTAATTCTTGCATCTTCCTAGCCATTTCTAACTCCAGTATCCCTCTCCCACAGTCGATCTTCTATTCAAGAATCTGCAGTGGTTTTCTAATGTCTTTCTATAGGAAGGCAATGTATATCAGCAATTGCTTATCCAACTTTATTTCCCACCACTTCCCCCAAAATAATCTCCTTTTTCCTCTGTTTTACTTTCTTCTTTTCCAATAAGTCTTTTACTGCTGAACTCCTTATCAACTCCCACCTTTACTATTAAAATAATNCTATTTGCTTCAAGTGCTATAATGAGTAATAAATAAAATCCAGTGAAAACCCAAGCAAATTCTCTCAAACATTACAGGAAAAACCTTCACTGTAAAGGTAAAATCTCACCAGGCTGTTTAAGGACAAACAATTTCATGGAGGTGTCTGTGGAATACATTCCAGATGACAGAGTGGAGAGCAAGCACAGAGGGTAGTGGGATTAATGACCATAACACATCTTAAAGAGTTTTAATTCGGTTTCCTAATATGTATAGTATGTGGAGAGAGCATGAGAGGGTCAGAGGTGAAACTGGAAGACAAATGGATATATTTGGAAGTCTGACATAATATGTGAAGGGGTTTTTACATCATCCTCTAGGGAATGGGAAAATAGTCTTGTTAAGTTTTTAAGCAGGGGAAATGAAGGTTGAGGGAAAAGGGCCAGGTGACATGATTAGATTTATGTATTAGGAAAAATTAGGCCTTTGACTCAGACTAAATCCTGAAGTCAGAAGAGGTGGTGACAATAGGAAGACATGGATCCCAGAAACAATTCAAGCCAAATCAACAGGCTTGATGACTCTGATGGACGGGAGAGAAAGACAATCAAGAAGTTTTTAATTTATGCTGAGTAGATGGTGATGCCTTTGACCACAGAAGGAAATACTAAGGGAGAAACTAGTTTGGCAGAGGGAGAGTTCAGCCTGTAACCTGCTCAAGTGGGGGTGAGCATCTGACACTGGGTCCAGCATGTGCTTGGAAAACTCTAGAGAGGAGCTTGGGTAGACGGTGGACGTCCTTGGAGAGGAGGAGTTTACCATTTGATCTAGCTACCTTTATTCTAATTCTATTATACTGACTTGGCAACTTTTTGATATTAAATTTAGCTTTTCAAATTGGATTTGGTATTTTTATTCACTTGGCAATTTTACTTTCAGTCTTAACTTGATGACCCCAAACTGTGGCTTATCAGTCATTCTTTTCTGTTTTTAGGAATCTTGCATAATCGAATGAGGGTTGACACAACAGATATCAAATTTATGAGTCTGCAAAGTTTAGTATTAGCCATAGGCATCCATTCCATCAGATACACATCTCTTCACAACCCCAGGCCTTCCTCAACAGCCAGCCAGCCCATCTTTAACATAGCTTTTAAACTACAGGTATGGAAATCATGGAAACTTAGAGGCAGGTCTGTTTGAAATTTACCTTTATAATATCTGTGAAAAATAGATTTGGGAGCACATTCATATTATAAATAAAATGTAACCTACCTTCAAAACAAATTACACAAACACCTTAGGTAAAAACACCAGGGCAGAAAAAAATAAGCTAAATGATCTCCAGCTATTAAAGCAGGTTTAACAGTCTCCATCTGGGAGCCTTTATCATCCAGGAGTTGGTTTTAGAAATATGTAAGACAGTAATAAAACAGGAGCTCTGTAAGTCAGCTCACAGGGGCTCGAAGCACACTGCCTATAGGGTGAGGTACGTAAGGCAGAGTGCAGCGGGGGATCTGTAAGGCAGCAGGAATTGGACGTCCAGGGCCTGCCCAGTTAAGGGCACAGCTGCTTCTTCCAGGAATGCTAGCCTAATGTTGCCAGAAATTCTGATTTTTTTCAAGGAGTCAGAAATACAGATTTTTATGTAAAATTTCCAGATTTTGAAAATTATTCTGTGACTTTTGCTCTGTCCTGAATTAGGGAGTTTTTATTATATAACAATTTCATCTACGTTAACGTTTAGTACCTAATGAACCTAAAAATACTGATGTTTTGAAATGTTATTGTTCAAAATTAAACAGGACTTTAGAAATAAACTTCTGTCCCAGTCGTAAGAACATTACATTAATATCTCAATAGTACCATAATTTTAGTCTCATTGCTGCCAAGCTTTCTCTAACAAATAAAAGATATATGCACAGTTTACTCTTCAACTTTAATAAAATGAAAAATGTGTTACAGAAAACAATTTTTGGTTTTTTATAGCAGTTTAACAGTGAATATGAGACTCAAAAGAACACTCACACAACCAGTGGATGTGCCAATCACACAAAATTAACTCATTTTCATGGATGCAAAGATACTTTTAAATATTTGCCATTGTTCACAATTTGATGGTATCTGCTTTAAAAATACGGTCTCTAACTAGGTTTCATCAACAACTCTAGTTAAATCCATCTTGACCCCGTAGGTGGTTTTGCTCTGTCGCTCTCGGAGACCAGCCATGTAAATTTGAGGCCTCGGCACCCGGGTGCTGCCTTCTTTCATGGACTGCGTGCTGGCATCCTTTTGGGGGTACACCTGTGAACAGTTTTCTCTTCTCATGTGACTAAGATCAGTTTGTACTGAGTGAGTAATTTTCTGACGCAAATTGGCCTAAGTAGAAAGAGAATACATAGGAATTAACATTTCTCTAAAAAATAAATAACATCTGCCTGATCTTTTTTCTCAATCCACAAAGAAATTAGTCCTACAACAAAGCATTTTTCTACAAAACATCAAACATTAGAAAATACAGAACATAACAGAAAATAAATAGCCTTTGCCAAGTAGAAAAATATGTAAAATGTTGAAAATAGACCAAAAGAAAGAACATACAGATTCAAAATTATGTAGTGAGAGCAACTATTTATTAATACAATCTTCTAATTCCTTCATTATTATTCTTAGAGATTCATACAGCTTGGATTTTTCCACCACACTTGATGTATTTTTTAAAAAGCAGATTTTTAAGATTTCCATTGTCTTTTTAAAATGGGCTTCACCCAAGTCTTTTAATATAAAAGATCCTATTGTTTTCAGATAATTTTACATTATTCTACATTCTGCTGACTTCTTTTAAGGATTACTGGTAAACATAAAGTTAAAACAGATTAATCGGGCTGGGAAGCAAGGAGGAGCTTATAAAAAGGAGAACAGGAATTGCTAATTTATGGTGAAGTTGCAGGAAAAAATTCGAAAGGAATTAGAGCATGTGAGTTAAGGGGAGCTGGAGTTAGAGAGAGAACAGGCGATGTGAGAATGAAACTGTTGCCCCCCACACACACATCTTACTGTCTACATTAATATGATTTTACTATTCCATGTCTCCATTAGCATAATTTTACTATTCCAAGAGACTTTTGCCAAAGCAAGTAACCTGACTGTCCATTACAGACCATCCTGAAAGATGCATCAACTGCACAGCAGTAAGCTTCAGCACACAGCCTGGGCCCTGAGACTGCGCAGCCCTGCCTCATAAACCGTCACCTTGCTCTTCCCATCAGCAGTGCGCTGCTTTTCCACGATCTTCTCCCGATCCAGTTCAAGCCCCCATCCTGCTGCCTGACCTGCTCCTGGCACTGAAAGACCCTACCTTCAACCAAGCTTCAAATTTTCAATAAATTCTGACCCTGCCACTCCTCATCCGAGACACCGCCGAGGTCCTGCTGCAGTGGTTTCCCCTGTGGTTTTAAGCAACAGACTCGGCCTGTTCTTATCAACGAGTTGTGGTGGTAATACAGGGGAGCCGGCATTCAACATGGTGATAGTTAGGGGATAGTTGGGCCTCTGGTGGGAATCAAAATGAGGGAAAGGTTGAGGAATGACGAGAGGGCTCAGTCGGTATGAAGTGCAGCCCATTCTCGTTTAACATTTCCTTTCTAGACCTATGCTGTCACCTCTACCTTTCATATCCTACCCACCGCATCATGCCCCTCTTTTCCTTTCCCTATTTGTATCTCAAGGCCTCCTCAAAATGTCAGCTAAGTCAATGTAGTTGAATTTTTATTTCACTTCTGTTATACCACTACAGAAATATTTTTAGTGTATCAGTGTCATTCAGCTCCTGAAGAACAAAGTAGTGGGATATTTATGTTACCCAGTATCTATCTGATGAGCTCAAGCGAATTTACTACATAATAGAAAAGAAAGTGAGGGATGGAGCTTCATGAACTACAGGATAGAAACTGACAGGAATGCTAATGGAACAATGACCTGAAAAATACACCGAGAAGCAGATCCTTCCTCATCCCAAGGAAATCAGGGCACTGAAATGCTGCCACAAACAAGGGAAATGATGTGGTTTGTGAAAAGGCTGCCGGACTAGATAAACAAAGGCGACCTTCTATGACAGTAGAACTCTGCCCCACAAACTCTGCAGCTGTAGCCGAACAGTCAGGACTTGGCCTATTGTTGTTTCCCTGTTCCCACCTTCCAGCGAGGACCAAGCAGAGAGAGCCGAATATGCTCACTGCGCCGGGTCGGGCCACCTCCAGTCGCCCATGTTAGCCTCCGGTCGGGGCCCGCCTCAAGCCTTCTCTTCTCCACTGTAAGCTTCCCGGTCCCTCTGCCTGCTTCAGAGTCTCTAACAAACTCAAGTGAGGGTGGCTAACTCCCCGGCTCTAACCAGCTCTCATTTGGGTGGTCTTCGCTTAAATCCACACTGGATTTCAGTTAAAGAAATGGACAAAGAGTTTGTTTCCTTTATACTATAAATATTTCTTCTTTAAAATGACAAGATCCTATGAAGACGGTGAGGCGGGGGAACTGCAGCAAGTCAGAGAGGGATGAGAATTTCAAAGACAGGCTTTAAAGGAAGGCACCTATTGTGATTAAGGTACTAGAATCAGGGATGAGAGAGCTCAGTGTCTAGTGAGGACAGACTGACATGGGGGACAATGTCCAGGAAATAACAGCGGTAACAGTCTGCTCTTTTTCTGAGGATACCGTAAATGGTTGCGGGATGTTGGGAGGGCTTGGTAAACTAGCACCTCATAGATGAGCACTATAAATCAAAACTGTTACACAGATTGATCAATAGAGAGAAGAAGAAAGCAACTACCACTGTTGTAGTTACAGGATGATATGACTTGAGAATAGTTTATGATACTACTGTATGTCTATGCATGCTTAATATCAGTATTATAAAATCTTACAATGTAAAATTGGCAAATTTTAAATTATGTAAAGCTGGCAAATTATAAATTATGCTAATTATTTTTGTTAGCAAAGAACTATATACAACTCATTATTCTATATAAATAATTTAGCAAGTCCATGAATAGTAAAACATTAAAATTCCCCAACCTATAAACAGCTTTAGCAAATATTGTTACAAACCAGTTTTATAGCTTTTCTTCTTAATTCCCATTCATTCCACTCATATGATCTCACAATTGTTGGTGGCAGTATGTGTGTATCCGTCTGTGTGCTACTTTCACACTTAGTAATTGGTTTTATATACTGTTTGTCAACATCTTTCATCTAAAGAAATGGAGTTTTATAATTAATGTTTGTAAATAATAAACATCATTTACAGATAACTAAAAATATGATTAGAAAAAAATTTGAGCATGAGATATACTTGTAAATACCAGCAGAGAAAAAATAAGCCCATAGTTAGTAAGCTAAATGTAATTATTGTCCAAAGCATTGTGGCTTTGTGTCTGGTTTTGTGAACTTACTGTAGGAGGTGTATTTTGGAAGGGGAAAACCTAATGTTACTCATTACCAAGTCAAACACCCCTCTCCAGTTTTCACAGTTGGTAGCATTAAGTGAATACTTTGTAGGAAATGGATAGAAGTTTAAAACAGCTATTAAATATTAAGTATAAATCACATTTGTTTAATATATTGGAACATCTTCAGGATATATTTTAAACTCATATATGCAAACATATTTTCCAGGTTGGTTTTGTTTGAGTTGGAGATGTTGATTTTCTGCCTGGGCACCAGGAACTCACTATTCAACTATTAAGAATTCAGCAATTCAAGGCTAAACAAGATATAATTATGTTATATATGGAACTGCTGGAGCAGGTACTTACAGTCTTGGGTAAGAGAAAAGAATGAGACTGGAAAGAGATACAGAGGGATCTCTGAGATACAGTAATGTTCACTTACTTGTTATAGGTGATAGATACATGAGTGTTTGATTTTTATTATTTTTATACAGTGTTACATTTTATATGCCCTTTGGCTTGTATAAATATATTCCAATTAAAGATTATAGTTACTTACTTAAAATGAGTGGGACATATTTCCCCCATGTAGTTTTTCCTTTTTGGCCTTTTACTTTTATCAAAATTGATATATAAGTGCTTTTTAAAAAGTTATCTCACATACTGTTTTAGAAGTAGGCAGAGTATAAAATATAACTAAACCTATTAAGTCTTATTAAAGCATTATCAGTGAAACTACTAATGGTTAAAAAAAAACTAAGCAAATGATCATTTTTATGGATGGGACAACCCAGTATAATAAACATACAAGTTCCCCCACAAGTTATTTTATCATTTTAATGCAATTCCAGCTAAAATCTCAATAAGATTTTTGGGGAAGCTTGGCAAATTCATTAAGAAATTTACACGGACATATACATATCCATGCATGAATATCTAAGACAATTTTGAAAAAATAAAAGGTGAAGGGAAGGCATTGCCCTATCAGGTAAGAAAATATATTACAAACCATTAGTAATTAAAACAGTATAGTATCAGCATAGAGATAGACAAATTGGCTAGTGGAGCAGACAAGAGCCTAGCAACAAACCAATATTATATGAGCACTGCTAATACAATAAAGGTGGCATCATATTTAGTGGTAAATACATTATTAATAACCACACATTATTAGTAAATGATGTAAGGAAAACTGGCTCATTACATGAAGTAAAATTAGATTCTTCATTATCTCCAAATGGACTAAAGACCTAAATGTAAATAAATTAAAAAGGAAGAAAATGGAAAAGAATAACCTTAAGACACAGTAAGGGATTTCAAAAAGCACAATCTTTAAAGGGAAAATTTTATGAATATGACTACATTAAAATTAAAGATGTGTTTTCAATAAAGATGCAACTGATAAGGCTGGCAGTTGACAAAATGGACAAAGCACTTGCAACTTGTATATCTGATAAAGGATTAATACTTACCAAAGACAAGAAACACCTG